TTATGTTGATGTGTTTTAAGAAGACAAAAAAGAGAGTAAATCGCGAGTCAGCACTGTGGCAGTGCCTCTTTTTCTACTTGTCCTTGTGTTCGTTCGCGCTGTTTTAATTATATGTTTACGATTATGCATTTCTTTGAAATTGAATTCATTCTGAAACAGAGGTCTCCTCCCAATCAAACACCGCACAACCACTAATATTTCTATGAAATCGGTGCTGCCAACATGCCAATGTCACACGACGAACATCGTAAGTCACTATGTTCAAAGTTTCCCGCGTCAAGTCGCGCCACGCCACACGCCAAGTTCTTCGCCCCACGCACTCGGAGTGCGGATAAGAATCCAACGCAATCCGCACTCGGAGTGCGGATAAGAATCCAAAATTATCCGCACTCGGAGTGCGGATAAGAATCTACCACTATCCGCACTCGGAGTGCGAATAGGGACAGCCCTTTTGTAGATCATCTTATAGGTGACATTCACTTGACGTCACTCGCTAGGTTCGCTGGCATCGCCCACCACGGTCGCCATCTTCGAGGTCTCTTGCTATCGCGAATGCCATCTGGCCGGACCTTTTGAGCGTGGTTTAGCAGTATTTTACAACTTTAAAGGGTCTTTTTGATCGAAACTAGGGGTTATTCTTATACTTTGGTGCTTTTGAAGCGCCGTGGGAGTATTTTTTGTGTGTTTTAGTTCGTTTTTGTAGCTATCGCACTCGTTTACCGCGGCCGCGTTGCTCCCTCGGCTCCATGAAGCGCTCCGTGTTGCCCGCCGTGCCGACGGCGGTAGCTCTTGCAAGAACTAATTTTTCTACTTTGGTGCTTTTGTAGCACGGTGTGATTACTCTTTGTTTTGTTTTGCTTGTTTCTTTATTGTTTTTCTCTAGCGGATTTTCTGTACTACGGCCGTGTAACCGTGTTGCTCCATCGCCGCTGTGTCGTACATACGTCGTGCCTTCGGTGTTCGTTCCTGTGCAGAAACATACCGTGCGGCTCACAGAGTGCGCAGCTTATGAAAAATGCGGCGCATTTTTCATTAGCCCAAGCGATTTAAAAACCGCATGTTAGCGATTTGGCGAGCGGGAAGACAAGCGACGGCGACCCGCTTCGCTGCCGCTGGGTCACTCGCGCGGAGAGGCAAACCGCATGAAAGCGACGGGAGCACACAACCAAGGCGATGAGCGCTAAGTTTTCTAGAAATCCCAAAACCGAGCTACGCGACGAGTGACGGAGAAGGGTGAACCGCATGTAAGCGATTTAGCGAGCGATGGCGACAGCGACGGGAGTCGGCGACGAGCGACGGAGATTTCTCCCGGTCGGTCGTCGCGTCGCTCGGTTTTTGGATTTCTAGAAAGGGTCGCTTATCGCCTTGGTCGCTTGCTCCCGTCGCTTTCATGCGGTTTGCCACGTCGCGCGAGTGACCGAGCGACAGCGAAGCGGGTCGTCGTCGCTTGTCTCGTCGCTGTCGCTCGTCTCGTCCCGTCGCTGTCCCTCGTCTCGTCCCGTCGCTCGCCAAATTGCTTACATGCGGTTCAGCCTTTACACACGGTACTCGGCGGCAACAAAGAAAACGGCCCGCCCCCGAGACCAACTTTTCTTTTCTCTTCTGTTCTACGAAGCTTCAACGATATGAAATTAGCACACACTAGCAGCGGACGACCGCGTAGCGTACCCAAGCCAGCCAAACCGAGACCTCGAAGATGGCGGATCGACGGTGGCGCTCCCTGGCAAAATCGAACCTGCAGGCTCAGTGAATACCACCTATTCGTTTTGCTGGAGACGCAACCGACGGGCGTAACAAAATCGCTTGTGTATTCCGCATACCTCGCAAAAGCACTTACCCAGTCACCTTGCGAAAAGCGCGAAACACGGAGTCCGCACCGCCCCGACTTAGCAGTATTTTACCTCGTTTAGAGCAGTTTGTACCTATTAGTAGGCATGTCTACTGAAACTGCAACTTGAAACTAGGGGCAATACCAGAGAGAAAAGAGACAAAGTTGGGAAAGCATAGCCGCTCTCTCCAATTTCTGAACTCTCAAGTGATTGTACCATAATAAATTCCCCAACAGTTTTTTCCAAAATAAAGAAAACACGCTATATTCACTACGTAAAAAATGCTCTCAGTTCATGCATCCGCAGGCAGGCAGGAAACGTTGCCCTAATTTATTCACACCACATGACGAGCGCAACAAACTCACACGAGATTTACGAGAAAATATCGGTGGTGACTTAAGTTTCCCTGAAATTCTGTATGACCGGTTGTTTGCAGGACCGAATCATCTACTCGGGCGGTGTGCGTCGCTGTGCAAACGCCAACAACACGAAGCATAAAAACGGCAGGTCTAGGACAACAATCCGGAGTCCATTGTTCAATTAAAACGACGTAATTTTGTTGAAAACGCCCGCAGATTTTTACACACGGTATGCGTCGAGAATCTTCCACATTTTGAAACGGAACGAAGGAAGATTTACTTTTAAAAGCGCTCACTGCGTCCTCCCGGACCAGCTGGACCGGATCAGCTGACGACGACGGGACTGAAACCGCTGAATTTCAACCCCACAATAACCAATTTGCGCTTCGTGTTAGTATGGGCTTCTACCTCCAAGCACCGCACCACACACCACGAACGTTTCAACTCTTTGCCGCATCGCCGTGTTGCACCAAACCTATCTCTATGCACCAAAGAGAACGATATCGCCGAAGTCAACGGAGCGCTGTCGTGAACCTTGGCTTGTGGTTGCGCACTCGTGGACCTTGTGACTCCCTTCGCTTTCAAAGCACACACGACGATTACGAATGATACTTTCCGTCTTCCGGGACCATCAAGGGGCACTTCTCCGGTCACGTCTTCGCTACATGTGCTCGAAAACCGCGTCAAACGTGGTCAAACCGAAGCTGCCGAAGCAATACCGGCGCCATGTTGAAACGTGCGTTGTTGCTAGATTTTCTCCGACCAAACAAAAACAACGAAAGCAAACCGGCTCTAGCTTCCAGTGTACATCGGCGTTGCGCCGTGGCCAGATTTTCTCCGTCAGCTCTAACTTAGAGATGACCTACAGATGCAGCAACACTGGTATCAAGTTTTAACCTTTTAACATGGCGGCCCCCACGGAGCGCCGTAAATTCTGAGGAGGGTGCATTGGAAGCGGCGGCACCTTCCCCCCCCTGGTTGGTTGTGCGTTGTAGTGGGTTAGCGCTGTAATTTCTGAGGTGTCTATTCCGCACAAAGAAAGCCGCAACAATTGCTGCATGGTCGGCAAGATCGCGCACGGCACGAAGTACTACATCGTCCCTTCGAAGCCGTACGAGGCGGAGTACTGCGCGACCTCGGTACGACTTGTGCGTCCATACAGGTTAGTGGTGTTTCTTGCCTTCCAGTTCGCGCTTTGTTTAAGCTGCTGACGAATAATACAATTAACTTTTTTTCTCTTCTAGCGACGATGGAACAGCATCGACACCGACGGAAAACTCTAAAGTATGCAGCAAATACTTCACCGGAATCGAGAAGCGGAATGCGGTCGCCCTCCTAAGCCTACCGATGGATGTTTCCATCAGCCTACAGGAAGATAGTAAAGAGAATCACGGAACGGCGCGAAACAAAATCGCCCAGTTATTGTCAAGCTGATTCAGAAATAAACGTACATAATTACCGCAGTCCACTCAACGCCAACAAAATGTTTTTGCGGGCGCGCTTAATTTTGTTTGCAGAGCACGGCGCTCCGTGACATCCACTTGTCCGTCGAAACGGACCTCCTTCACGTCGCACACGCGGCCAGATTCATGAAACAGTTTTCTCTTCGTCATATTGGCACCACGGAAGAAGCTTTCTGGATTCGTAACCGCCTTAAACCCCGTCGTAATCACCCCGGGAACACTGTCCGCTGTGCTGCTAATCGCCACTGCTTCCCCCCGATGATTCTGCACCAGCTATCGAAGAAGCTTTCCGGATTCTTAGTCGCCCACTGTCCTCTGTGCTGTTCGTTGCTATTACTTCGCGATGATTCTGAGCCGGCGGCACCGGCTTCCGAAGGAACTTTCCGAACTCGTAACTGCCTTAAATTCCGTCGTAATCACGACGGGGACACTGTCCACCGTGCTGTTCGTCGCCATTGCTGCCCGATGCTCCTGCGGCGGCTACCGCCAGGTTGCGGCGAACAATAGGCGACCGCCGCGACACGGCCGGCTTGCTCGCTTCCCCTCACGCTGTGCTTACGCTGCTTTGCGGCGACGGAGCTTATTACAAAAATGTGAACACACTTGGCCCACCCGTAAACACCGTCTCGCGGCGGCCGACTATTCGCTAAAGTGGCATTCGGTGAAACGCGGGCAATCGCTAAACGTTGTTTGATCAAGTGAGTGCCCCAACTAGATAAGGTGGCGCCACCCTGAGGCCGGACTTGCAAACGTGTATACCCAATCTCGTCGCACCACTTCTGCAAAAAATACATTCCTAGTAAACACGCAAAAATGACACTGGCGGATACAATTATCTTGTAGATATATCACCTTATTTAAAAATAAATGTGTCATGCATTTAAAAAAAAAACGATTTTTTTTTCTTAAAAAAAAATGGAATGTAAAATATTTTAAGTCTGGCGACAATTATTTTTGTCAAATATTTAACAAAAAGTCAGCAAAAGTTTGGCCTTTCCGAATCGCAAGAATCGGCGCCGAATTTTCCATTCGGCGATATCCAAAAGGCGTCGAGGTATGACTCGGGTGAGGGAACGCAACTGCACACCTGGTTCCGGAGGCGCCTAGTAAACATACGATCCACCGCGCCTGATATACGCCCCCATTCTTCAAAACAAAGCGTCGATCCCTATTTATTTGAACGCTTCGAGACGACGACGTCGCCTTCTAATAAGATGGCCGATTTAATGTTTGTTTACATTTATCATACCACGGACTCCATGATATGCGTCATGTCACAGAACGCACGGGACCACTGATCTCTACTGCACGGGGCGGATTAAGGCATCCATTTGGCGTCAGAGACTTACCAAGCGCTGAGACGTCAAGCGAACTCGACGGCTGATCACCGCGGCTGCCAATATTCTTCCGGCCTGAAACCGAAACTATGCGTCAACTTTTTATTCAATCGCGATTATGCCGGGGAAAAGTCCCCCGCTATAAACCTGCTGATGTCGAGATTTTCGTCGTGGCTAATAGGTGAGCAGATGAAGGTGGGGTACCTTTATTCTTCGATCTTCGCCTATTAGTCATCACTGCTTTACTCTTCCGAGTGGCGACGTTTTTGTCACCTGCGGATTTGACAAAAGCTTTTATGGTACGGATTTTCAATGTTGTTACGCAGAGACTCGCTCCAGTTTGAGTGGCAAAAGAGGGTCAGTACTTACTTGTAAAAGATATATGTTCACAACCGAGAGCAGTGAACACCCAAAGGCATGAGACGAGCTGTCGGCGAACCTTGACTGGGTGTGAGAAGTAGTCGACTGATATCGAAACTATACAAATGGGTCGTCGACAGCCGACATCCGCGGCGTCTGCGTACGCCGGCTCTGGCCACAGATGGCTCTGGCGTACGCTTAGGTCCGTCACTAGATTCAAAACCTTCAAGACAGATCGAAAATTAGAACCAGCAAGGAAAATAAGCAGATAGTTAGTTTGAAAAGAACAAAAAAATTAATGTGCACGTAAACTTCCTTTTTATTGTTTAGAAAGTAACTGTGCTATATTTGACTCCCTCGTTTCCATATGTCAGGATGGCCGAGCGGTCCAAGGCGCTGCGTTCAGGTCGCAGTCCGGTCTTCCGGGCGTGGGTTCGAATCCCACTTCTGACAGAATTTTTTTTTAATTACTTTTTTTTTTGTTTTATTTACATTTTTTACATTATTTTACATTTTTTTTATTCAGACCAGTTTTACTACAAATTGAATCAAATCAAGCCTTTTATGCAAAAATATTTAAGAATTCTTTTTCTTTACGAGTTTCTAAGTAGTAGTAGTAGTAGTAATAATAATAATAATAATAATAATAATAATATTTATTTGCATACAAAAAATCTTATCCTGAGTGGCGTGCACGGCTGTGCAGAAAGGAATAACCCGTACGCGAGTGCGCTTGCCAGCCCACCACCCAGGATTTGAAAAAAAAAAACAAAAAAAAAACACACGCACAGGTATACCAAATTTGTACACAAGGCCGTAACCCAAAATGTTTTAAAAGAAAAATGAGGGTGAAATGTAGAGAGTAAGTTGACTCACACAAACACACACTACACTACACCACTGTTATGACGCCTGCTGCTGTAGGTGCTTTGAAAACAAGCGACACATCGACACAGATTCAGTACGGTCCTGGGGAAGCGGCGAACGTATCCTGAGCGGGGCCGAGATGAAGTCCTCGATGCCGGCTAAGATCGGCGAGGAACTGTGGCGTTTGGTACATTTTTTCCGTACTTAAAAAAAAAAAATAATTACGTTTTGGCACAAATCATTGCTCTTCTTAAAAAATAAAATTAATGTGTGTGTGTGTGTGTTTTTCTATTTTTTTTCTTTTTTTTTTTTTTTTTTGCTATTTAGCATAATTTAAATGTCGAAGCATGTTGTCGTAGATCTCAGGTTGCCCAACTTGTTGCTCTAATTGATGCTTGTAATTTACAGGGTTTTTATCACTGCAAAAATAAAGCATCGCTTAACGCTCATCCTCCACCCAAATGTAGCGCTGGAGGTTCGAACCATATGCCAAAGTTTCAGAACTAACCGTCATTTTATTCATCTGTTATGCAATTTCCTGAAATTTCCAATAGGAAAATGGGGTCCATTTTCGTCAGTTTTCGGCAACTGGGGAGCTCCATGTATTCGAGAGGATACGGGCCATTCGTCGAAAGACAATTAGTAATAGGGCAAAGCTGGTAGGCGATTCGTCACTGGGACAACTCGTTGAAAAACCGGAGATAATGTTTAGATCTTGTTGCCCACATACTAGCTATTTTAGCGTTCAGTCGTTTTTGTTATTCAGCTTAACTGTGTAGTGTCCTCTTTAGAAAGCTTTCTTTTTTTTTTTTTTTGGGGGGGGGGGGGGGAGCGTTTGGAAGCATAGAATGTGACATTTTCAGGAGCACGACAAAGCTACTGCGCATGCGCGGCAGTCAGAGTGCGCATGGGCGACCGAAACGTTTCGTGTAACACCCCACAATTGCCTAGCAATTTGCCATCCATTGTTTTCATTAGTGACTGAGAGAGGTGCCAAGATTCTGGTGGACAAGACATAATGTCTTGTCCACCAGTGTTTATTAGAAATAACCAAAAAAACTAATTCCTTGTGTCAGAAAAAAAAAATACAGTGCAACCCACTTATAACGATACTAGATATAACGAAGTACTGCTTATTATGATCAGTTTCTAGAGTTTTAAGACTAGAAACGCGCAGCTTGTAGTCCAGAGACAATGATAATCGGTTATAGACTGAATTTTTGGGTTTTCTCATTATCATTATTAGTGGATCGCACTGTAAAAGAACTATGCTCAATAAACGTCGGAAATGCATAGTGAAAGTCTGCCCTATGACAAAATGTGACGAATAGCCGTGCTATCAGTTGACGTGTGACGAATGGCCATTCGACGAACGGTCCTACAGCCGTATTTGAGAGCTCGGTCCAGCCATCATTTTCCCACTGAAAATGTTTAGAAAATCACTTGTAACTTTTCAATAAGATAACGATTAGTGCTGAAACTTTGACATCTGGTTTGAACCTAGCTACATTTGGGAGGAGAATGAGCATTGGGTACGCATAGCTTATTTTTGCAACAAACTGTAAATTTCTTTTTTTACACACAATTTATGAATTTTTTGGTACACTTAGCATATATATACGTCCAATACAGTAGATGCTATAATAGACTACTTCCATAAAGCCCTGCATGCAACACGGCGCGCGTTGCACTCTGGGAACTAGTTGGCCAGGGAGGAGAGTGGCAGGGTTTCGGTTTCGATCGACACGTCAACACGTCGTCGTTTTCCGGTCCCGAGAGCGTCATTTTTGGTCTCGAAACTAACCTAAATGGCCTGACCTCGAAGCTTTAGCGCAAGCCCGAGACGTATAGTTTGTCTTAACTCATGCTTGTTGTATTTTTGTACTTGAGCCTTTCTGTTAGCGTTTCGAGGTATGTGGACCAGCCAGTGCTGGGAATCTCGACGCTGCGAAGCTCGGGAATCTTGCTTATGTACGAATCAACAAGCTGCAGCAACCAATAAGTATGCACACATCGAGCTCGCGCCTTTACATTAGTGCTGTTGATCAGGAAGTCTGTTTCGTGCGTCCATAGACGAAATATTACTATTTGCAATTACTGTTTTCTTAATACGCCTAAGTACGTCAGGTAAAACTCGGAGGCGCCATTGAAAAGCTCACTTCTTATCATCTGTACTGACCCGCAGCACTGCACGAAACGAAGTCCCCACCCACTTTCATTTTATTAATATTCAACATCGCGTATGCGCATAACGTTATCCTGCAATCTTATACGCGAATTCGCACATACAAACAGTTTTAAGAGAGCAAAAGTCGAGCACTTGTGTGAAAAACGTCGCACCGTTCGCCTGAAGTACGCCGGACGGGCATGAACCCCTATGCGGTGCGCCAAACGAACGAAATTATTCAAAGTGCATTTGACAATTGCTAATGGCCATAATATTTGTTATGTGTTTGCTTTCTTCCTGCCTGAGTATGCCGAGATAATTTCAGACACACCGTTCAGGCACAGATCTTGGGCGTCAGTAAAAGCTCCTCCAAAAAGGCTTAGCGAGGAGTAGGGGACGCTTGTTAGGGCCTCCGTCGTAGCTAGCCGATCTCAGCGTTTGCGAAAACTTAATCTTTTATCAGCATAAAATTTGAGTGGGAGATACATGATTACACGAGGAAGACATCATAGTAACTTTGGTGCAGTAGTGAGGTCGAATTTATTGCGTTTCCTTAAAAGTTTTTGCGTCAACGCTGGGCTCAACTTCGATACTCCTGTGAGGATGCGGCTTGCTTTTCGCCCAATGAAGTAACAAGAAGCGGACGTTTGGCAAACAAAATACGTGTAAGGCTGCAGGTGACCAAATTTCAGTTGTTGTTCACTTGATTATTGAAATTGAACTCAAAGGTGAGGTGACTAACCCACGTCTTACTACGTTTACATACGCACTCATAATATCCGGTGTTTCCGGAACCAAGGAAAGTGCCCCGGTGTTAATTTTGTATCGCCCCAAAATGAGTGTATTGTACGTTCGTGAAAAGTCAGATAATCGAAAACGCAAGCAGCGCGTTTGGTCGCTGCGCGATAGCATGAGATGGAGCTGCTCAGTCGAAACCGAAACTGAGTGGCCAACTAGTTCCCAGAGCGCACTGCGTCGTATTTCGCCGCGATGGGGCGCGTCGGTTTTGGAAGAAGTCCATTGCAAGGTGTGTGGCATCAGAAAAGCCATGTTGATGCTTAGCAGTACTTGCAACCAGTGTTGCGGAATGGGCACCCCCCATTCCATTCCAATTCCATTCCGGGGAATTAGAGCTTGCGATAATTCAATTCCTTTCAACTCCTAGGAATGGGGACACTGGGCCCATTCCCACTCCTGGAATGGCTGAATCGTTCCACTCCATTCCTCTAATTCCTAAACGTAAACATTGGCTCTTGACAGCTACATTGTGTTGCCGGCATAAGCACCGTAAAGCTGACATTATATCAAACGCATAGACAATTGCGACGAAATACAAAATGCCTAAAAAAAGCACTGATTTTATTACGCTGAGCGCTGGTCGCACAAAGAGTTTGACAAACATCAAGAAAGCCCCTTGATATGTCGATGCTTGTTCAAAACATCGGTCTTCGACGACGTGGCTCGCAACAATCACCAAAACGTAAATCCACTAATTTTTTGGGGTATACTTCGGAATCCGGGCCGGTATCCGCCTTCAAAACGTAGACCCTCCCTAATGAGGGGGAGAGGGAGGGAGTCTCACGCTGATTGCAGCGATAACGTGGGGAGCTCTTGGTGGGTGGGGTGGTCCTCTCCTTATGCTAAGAAGGCTGCGCTCATTATGGTAGAGAGGAAGGGGGAACGGACGGGTCTCGCGGGGATAGGTGGGGTGGGAGGGATGGGATAGAGTAACTGTATAGGCTCTGCTTGCAGAGCCAGAGTAGCGCGTTCCTTTTCCTTTCGCCGCCATCTCCGTATTGGCGGAGGAGTGGGCACGCGCGCAGAACTGGATCCGACTTTCGTGCGGGAAAGCGGCCTTCCAGAGCGCCGAGTTTCGGGGGGAACATATTTTCCGCTTTGCATTCGCAAAATATCGATCCTAGTCCAAAATCGAACGAACCGAAAGCTTCCTAAGTCATTGAACATCATGTGTATCAACTGGGTACAGTACACTCCCGTCTTTTATAACGCGAGCGATGTTTGGGGACATTCGTTTTCAGGGTATGTGAAGCAGACGACACGGACGACGATCGCGTTCCCTAGAGCACTATATAGCTCCTACGGAGCAGAGTAGCGCAATCCTTTGAACCCCGTG